AATGCCTTGTCAATCTTAATTATGAAGGTGCCAGAAATACGTCACACTCCTACCTTTGCTTAGCGTTGATGGATAAGATGTTACAAGACAGAAGATCTTCCTGCTCTTGGAAAGTAACTTTGCTAAGTCTTTATTCTGTGAATGGCCCTAAATAAAACACAGAAGCACAACGCTAGCAACTCGTCTTTAAGGCACACCAATCATAGTACTCCAAAGTTTTCTGGTTGAATTGAAGCAACTGAAATTACTTCAAATAATTCACAAAATTCTAATGAATTTTAATTTGAAAATCAGTCTTACAACATCATCCAGCAAAGTGTAAAAATTTTGGTCTTTCTCATCAAATGTAGAAGAAATAATAAACTATTACAGGTAAATCCAAAAATACCAAAAAATGACAGAGAAAAATGAATTAGCTCTTAATGCCTACGTGATTTTTTTTAGATAAGATGCAAATTTACTTGCAGGGAAAAAAGATGCTATGCATTACTTGAAAGCCTACAATATCCTTTTTTAAAAATATATTTAAGTGAAAATAAAAATGAATAGCAGTCGTATTAGTTTAAAAGGAGGAAGATCAGATCAGACACTGAGCACTGGAAGATGCATGAATATATATGAACATGCAAATATAATCCCTGTGTTTGTACAAGGTTTAACAAAAGTCAGCTGCATGCATTTTAAATATCTGATTTGAAAAGTCAGATATTTCCAGGACCTATCAAATGTTCAATGACAGAAGCAGAGGATAAAGAAGGACGCTTGCAATATGTAAAAAGAAAATGGCCAGAGCATGGTTTACTTGAAAATCAAAGCATTATTTCTCTGGCTCTTAAATGCTTAGGGTATTTTGAAACACTTTTGTTTTTTAATTCTGGAACATTTATCCAATTCTTAAAGTCTTCAGTTTTCAAATTCTATGTGATATCATGCAACATATTTCTGGAAATCTTCGTAACTAAAATAGTTGTTCATCAAATTTAGAAGAGTAAATAACAATAGATTATCTATTAACTGCACTGAACAAATTACTGACATTGTAGAATACCTTAGCCACGAATTCTAAATTTGTACAATCACTACACAATTTGAAAAACTGGGAAATAGGATATGCTAGAAAAAAAAAACAAAAAAACAAAAGAAATGTTAAGTGCCAACTTTTCAGAGTAAAACCAAAGCAAAGGAAAACACAGGAAGTCAAGCTCATGTACGTCTGTCTTCTTCAAGTAGTCTCTTACTTATTTTATTCAAAGACAGCAATGGAAACCAGTACTAAGTCCCTATCAGTACGACCAGAGGATCCTACAGACACTGAAGACATGTAATTGGATGACCAATGCTAGTCTGAAGAGGTGATTATATGTTACAGAGAACTGAGCTCTCAGCAGGTGATGCGCAAACAATCCATGCCTGCAGTGAAAAGATGGAGATCTCGGCTCTAGGCCACGGCTCTGATAAATATATGAGTTGTAAGAGGGCTAATAACTCTCCTGATACTGCACAGGTTATGATGTATTTACACCACATGGGACAAAACTGAGAAAGTCCCTGAGTCATAAATGATCTCATCTCCAACCCCAGGCATACCTCAGGAGATTTCTCTAGCCTTTCATTGTGTGAGAATCCCATGACCCAGCTGGAGTGTCCTTAAATCCTCAGGAGGGATTTAAGATTTCTGTTAAAATTGGTGTTCCTGATTGTCAATAATGAACTTTTTTGCAATGCTGTCTTCTGTACTCACAAACCATGTTTTCAGATGCCTTCCCTGCAACAGGGGACTTCTGCTGAAGTATATTTACCTGCTTAGGGCTCTTGGGATGCTTTCTGTGTATGTTCCAAGTCCACCAGTCTGTTACACACATGTATCACAATGTATCTGTGTTTGTCTTTTCCAGTAGGAACAGAGAGTAAATGCATATTAGGCAAACAGAAGAGACACTGGCCGTGTCTACACTACCAAGCAAGAGAGATCACAGCCTCCTAGATTCCCTGCCTTGTATATCCTCACTTAGGAGCAGTAGGAGATAAGAGAAGTAGCACACTCCCTCAGATTTTTTACATATATTATGTGCACACATTCATACTGTGTATTCTATACCAACAGATGGTTGCAGAAGAATTTCCCTTTTTTCAGCTTTTCTGCCAGAAAAGTAGAACTTTTAATGGAAACACACAACCAAGAATATATAACAAGACCAGAGAGTTTGTATTTGCTTTAAAATTGTGGACACTAAGAAAATATAACCTGTTTTCAAGCTATTTAGTGTATCACCATACATCTAGTTTTCTAACAGCAGCAAGTTGTTCGTTTTTTCATTATTCTGTTTCTTGGAAACAAGAATATCTGCTTGTGTTTTAAATTCCATGAAGTGAAGCGATTTATTTGGGCAAACACCGGAGGGAACACGTATTAGACATTGTTCAAAAGTCCAAAAATGAGTCATCTGTTACAGATTGTATGGAGCCTCTAAAGACCTGGGAAACGACCAGCTGGCCCTCTTCTGTGAGACAACAGCATATAGACATTAGGAATGAGACAAGGGGTTCAAATCCCAGGCAATGCATGTAAATGCGCTAAGAAGCAGCTAGAAGCACACTTTTCTCTAGGCAGAATCTCCTGGACAGAGATAGAGCCAAAAGCACTTTTCTAAGGTGGAGACAAGTCTTTCTGCACACGAGACGAACTGAGAGGTGTTCATGCTTGATTAGTCAGCACACCATTTTCCTAGAGGGGAGTGGATGTTGCCGTTTCCTTGTTATGGGTTAGGTCACTCTGTTCTGCATGGCTTTTCTGACTGAGAGAGAGTTTAATGGGATGTCTATGGCATTCTTTGTCTGGACTGGGAGATAGCAGGACTAGCTTACAGCAGCTTTACATTTTTAATCAGCTTTTCAACTCCTGACACCCCCTCCAAATACTTTTGCAGACTACTTGTTCAGAAAATATTCTCAATGATAATGAAACTACCCACTGAATATCTGGAAGCAGATTTTCTTTTCAGTTTAGAACAAGAGTCAAATTAATCAAGAGGGGAACAGCAGTGATAACAGTAACTACTAAACTTCACCACTCTGCATAGGAGAACCAAGTAAGTTCTATTATATACCTTTTTATCATAATGCTGTTTTTTGCCTTCTAAATGAACAATGTTGCAGGGCTTTTGACTATCTTGTGTACGCTTTTTTCCCTGTTGTTTACTTCTGTCTGGAAGTGGATCAATGTTTTGCACGGTCTTCATAATCACTGTTTCAGGACTTTCAGAAGTTGGTATTTCAGCATCACTAAAACAGCAATTTCAGGAAAACAAAACAAAAGAAAGCTAAACGTTAAAAGTTCCAAACAGCCAATACTTGAGCACACAGAAAATAACACATGCAAGAAAGAAGAGAAACTAATAAAATCCAAACAGTACTAAGTTGACTTATTCAATGTATTTTTACAAATACAATAAAGACAAAATCTCTGAAATTGCCTTATGAAGTTCTACTCTGTCAAATGGAATCTCACTCTACAGTGCACGGAGGTCTGAGACTTTAACTGCTTCTTAAAGGACAGCTTTTGTTACAGTCTACAAACGTGACACATATAAAAAACTACTTGATAGTACTTCTAGTCTGTGGATGGCTCACAAGGATACACTATGTTTCTACTTTTCTTCATTTTCACATTTGATAACAAAACAAATAAATGCACAATACTTGACGCAATAACATTTTGTTTCAACTGAACTTTATTTGCAGTGTTGACTTGAGGCAAACTCAGAAATCACACTTCAGTGAAATCTCTGCCTAGCAGCCCTTCGGAGTGCTTTTAAATTCTGTAAACTTGGTAGTCCTTCTACTGTGATTGCTTGCCATGCAGAGAAGCTGGACCAGAAACTTTCATTCTCCTTCAAATTTTTCCTTAAACTTGCACTAAATGTGCAAGTTTTCTGTTTTTTCTAAATTTCCAGTTTTCTGCCTTGACCCAGATTATCATTTGTTTTCTGATATTCAGTGAAGTCTATCTTAAAACATGAAGTCTTGAATATATAATTCTCTATGCGATGAGCGGCTACTCATCACCATTTGTGCAAACAGATTTGTGAAGGAATCTCTTGACAGAAAGTACTTTTGATTTGTTACTTTTCAAATCAAGACATTTACAAAGGCATAATTGAGTTCAAATTAAGTTGCATCATCAAAAATCAATGGTTTAAAGATGGAGGCTACTTAACCACAGAAAAGGCCTCAAATTTAATAGAAGAGTTCATATAGAAATATGTTTATACTTTCCAAAACCCATCCTGGCACATCAGTATGTCTTATTAACTGATAAGAACAGAAATCAATGTAATAGTTTGAAGGTGCTGCAGTAGTACAGAAATTTTTCTAACTACATACATGTTTCCCTCACCTGAATGCTTTCAAGGAATATTTTATTTAGAAAATGGAAGGCTTGAATCTGGAAGCTCAGAGACAGCTACCAGCGACAAAGAACAGTATTTATTAATAAATAGAAGAGGGAACTAAATGAAGATATTTCCCTAACTTGTTGAGAATGACACCTTGAAACAGTCTTCAAAAATGTTCACTGTTCTACTACATTTCCCTATCCTGATATTTGTACAGTTATTGAAAGTAATATTTACAGATAGCCATGACAACTGAAGCTATAAAATTACTTTCCACTTCACTTCAAACTCAAATTACAATAACCATATGTTTGCCCAATTTTGTTCTTAAAAAAGCAAAACATAGAATCATAGAATGGTTAGGGTTGGAAGGGACCTCAAACATTGTCTAGTTCCAACCCCCCTGCCATGGGCAGGGAAACCCTCCACTACACCAACATGATAAATTAAATAAAAAGCTCACTAATCGCAATAGAAAATCTTGTATGTTTTCTGTAAAATCAGCTCTGCATTATTAAGTTAAAGAGAAAAACAAACAAGCTTTACATTAATGACAGCAACTGACAAATTACTTAGTTCTTGATTTGTTTTCTCTCTCAAGATACTGCGTTCAGGAGCCCCCTATTTCACATGGGGAGAAGCAGCAGAAGGGTTTCATTTGCCACTGCTGATTTGCTCCATATGACATATAAAGGCAATATGAAGCCTATGAAGACAATTCTGTTTTCTTTACTCTTGTCACCTTCTCTATATTTTGGGTAAAGACAGGCTCAAGAAATTTCTTTGCATGTCTCCTAGGACAAAGTATGGAAAGACAAGACAGGATACCCATTTACCTAGTGGCTTACTGCTGCCGCCTTGAGTGTGTGTGGACAAATAGAAGCAAAGGCAAAAATTCTAAACATTTATGAAGCTTGCCAGCGCGATTTTCTGAGGGCCTTGTGGCTCATGACTGGGACTCTATGCAGTAACAATTACCTTTAAAGAACTGATTTTTAACCATCATTCAATTAAATTTAGTACAATGACTGTGCATAAAACATACATGAAATAATTAGTGTGGATGGTTCTTAATTTAAAGGATGTTAAACAGCTTGTAGACATCTGCTAGCAAGCTGAAATGGGTCATTCAAAATTTATCTAACTAAATTAAGGGGAAAAAATGTTTCTCCTCCCGGGTCGGCATGTCACAAGATAACTAAACCGACTTAGTAGGCTTGCCTGGGAATCCTTAGCTGTCAGTGGTGAATATGCAAAGGGCCAGCAAATTAAATCAACCTGCCAAACTGTCAATTTCAAGCCTCATGACTGCATGAAAATAGCATCACTGGAAGAAATCAAGCATTGCCTTCTTTTGGGTTTCCTGGCACCTATTCAAATACTCATGCAGTTGTGGCTAATTTTGCATGCAAATTTCAGTCAATAAGCTCAGAACAAGACCTCCCAAGATATTTCAAAGGATCTGACAGTATTTTTTTTGAATACCAAATCAACAGTAGTTGAAATTCAATCTCCATTTGCTAGTGCTTTACATATGCACAGTGTCCCCTCTACAGGGCTAAGTTAATGAGAGCCGTACCTGCTTTCACTCACATCCTCCCAGCCGTCCTTACTGAAGTTCTCAAATACATTACTCATAACCTTGATGGACTGTTTGAGGAAAGCTCCATGATGTCCCAAAGAGCTCTTTTTCTTGGCTGTTTTTAATTTGACCTTGGTGTCTGTTATCTTGCAATTACATTGCCCACAGGTTGCCACTGCTTTGGCTTCATCCAGCAAACACTTCAGCTCCTGCACTTGACTCAGCAAATCTTCATTTTCATTTCTCAACCTGTTAGCTTCTGCCTCTTGCCTCTTCAAAGAGGCAGCTTCTTTTTCCTGCTCATCAATCACTAACTGAAGTTCTGCTTTGTCCTTTTTTATTTGACAAATGCTCTTAAGTAGCGTTTCCAGCTCTCTCTCTCTTGTGTCTGCATCTTCCTTCTGCACTTTTAAAGATGCTTTCAAATCGTTTTTCTCCTTCAATAAGTCTTTATTTACTTCTTTCTGTTTCTTTAATTCTCCTTCAATAGCTTTGAATCTTCTTTCTAGTTGTACCTAACAAAAGCAATTTCAGCATTCACAATATTTCAGCCTATGCAGTAAAAAAACCCTTATGTTTTCAAATGTATTTATTACATGACAATAATATTACATTAAGCACAAGGACAAAAGCAATCTATAGTCCTTAATTTAAAAATAATTCTAACATAGTGCAAATGAAAACACTTCAGCTGCAATAATACAGCTGTTGAACAAAGGGCAGATGGTAAAAGAAGTTAAAATTCCAGGCAAAGTGACACAGAAGTTTAAGTATGCTAATGAACCTTCCTGATGCATCTTGATCTCATTACTGATTTGGTTATACATACTAATTGAATTTAAAAAAACATTTTCAGAAGGAAACTGTTTTGAAGTACAGACAATTTTGCACTAGCTATCTAAATCAACAAGTTATTTCAAGAGTTGTAAATACACAAATCAAATATTAATTTGATCTTCTAAAAAAAAAATCAAACAAATTATAACAAGAGATACCAGAAGCTCAGCACCTAAAGAATATGAAAGCTGAAACGTATTTTCTGTTCACAGAAAGGGAAAAATTTACTCTATTCCAACGAAGCCACTTTACAAGTTTCCTGTATACAGTTTGAAGAAGCATATTCTACCAACATAGGATGCATATGCTTTGTAAAGTCCTTTGAGGTTTATACATATTCAAGGCCATTAACAATAGCCATGTTCTCAGTGTTCTTCTGGAATATTTGCTTAAAGTTACAACCAAACCCCACAATTTCCAGAAACAAGGGGTAAAATTTTAATTTCAGAAGATACTAAAACTGTGAGATTTCCCCAGAAGCTTGCAAAGCGCGAGTGAGTTTTGTGCTCAGTAACTACTTCGTCATTCTAGAAAAATATTTTTGGTTGGTTTTGTACAAGCTCCATCCTCACTCTCTCGCTAGGAGAAGTGTTAAGTGCTCTAGATTTTTCTGGACATAAGTACCAAAGACTATTTTTCAAGGAGCTGTAGTAGAAAGTACATGGCCAACTTTAGCTACTCACCTTGTAAAATTCTGGCAAACTCCGTCACTTTGTAGCAATACAAAATGTCAAAACTTGCATTGACATTGAAATTACTGAAACCATAGCATTTCTCAATAAATGCTGTATTTTTTTGCAAGGGTTTTTTGCCAATGTATTGAAATTATTTTAGAACTTATGAAATGAAGTGAGTACTACAGATTTATTTCAGATAAATAAGAGGTCTTAAAGTACAGAGCAAATTAGGGCAAGAGCTGCTCAAACTTGATATACATTTGTGAATTTGATATTGAATTTGTGAGTTGGATAGCTAATTTTAATATGCATGCCTGTCCATTGCTACCTTCCTTTAGGGAAATTCAGAGCACACCCACAATGAAGAGAGATTGCCTTATGGCTACATAAAGTTATTGAGTGAAATTAGAAATAAAAGAGATTTTTCCAAATGCTTCAATGAAACTAAGGTTTAGGATTAAAATCATAGTTTGCCCTTCCCTCCCCAATCATAAGCACTTAGACCAGTACCTTTCTTCAACCACCTTCCTAAACTGAGATTCTGCTATTATTTTCTCAGTTCTTTAAAGCAAGCTTTTGCACTCACTAGCACTTAAAGTCATGTATGACAGCTGGAAGGAAACAAACAATGAATAGCTTCTACACTTATCCCTAAGGTACCATCGTAACTCTGTATATCCATAGAGATAAAAATTATGTAGTACCTGGCAAACAAAATTATAGTTCTGAAATATAGATGATAAGCAAGCATAAACTGTGTGACATTTCAGATGGTAGTATTCATATTATTTCAATTACTCACTCTACCTTAAGATAAATGAATGTGAGCACTTCCTATTCTGTGTGTTATTATTTTAACATGATGTTTGTCATTCAGTAATAACGAGATGACAGCCTTCATTGCCTAACCATATGGCAAGTGTTACAAGTATAAGCAATCACATCATCTGCTGTAAATTACCATACTTCCTACAAGTTAATTCACAAATAAAAAATAGATAGACATACCTGAACTGACATTCAAAGTTATAAATTTGTGTTTATTCAATTTAAGCATGCTTTTAAAGATTTATAAGTAATTAAACAAATATTGTTTTGCAAAATGACAAACAAAAGGCACAATGCTGTTTGAAGGATGTCTTTTCTTTGCAACAAACAAAACATATGGTAAAATACAAGTGAGCCCTCTTAAGTGAACACCTGTTAACATACTAAACTACTTGTGTATATTACAAATATCAATACAAACAGCAACTAGTTAAGAACATCTTGTTACTGTATGAGGTAAAACATGTAGAATGTTGAGCAGTAAAGACTAAATACTCATCATATTTGCTAAGCCAAAGAACTCTAAATGTATACAGTACTATCTTGTGAAAAGAGTGATAAACCCACATATGTAAAAAATATTTGCATATGCGATGTTGTGCTAAAATTGAAATACAACAAAAAGTGGATTTATCACTATTATGCATCAATTTTATTCTGTAGCAAGAGCTCAATGGAGATTAACCCCTGATACGTAAGGTTAAATACTCAGCAAAAGAAATGAAGGTTTCTAGACTCAAAAGTGGTAAAATGCTAAGCATACGTTACTTCCTATTTACATAATTTGTTCGTTTTTAACATTATACCTCCAAACATTCTTTTAATTTTCTCTGACATTGACTATATTTATCTCACATGATATATTCATGGCTACTTCCCTAGAATTAATTTCTGACACCATTTTGGAAATCCATATTTTTCAATCAGGAAAGGAAAATCATGGCCTAAATTCATTAGTACTGACTTATATATATGAATCTTATATTAAAATTTAGATCTTAAGTTTGCTGGGGTTGGTATCTTACCTTTTGTAACGTCTGATGTGAAACTTCTTTCATATTCTTCTTTGGAGTACTGTTCTTGACCCCATCATCTTCACTAAGTTTAAAAAGTGGCTCTATCAGAAGATAAATAATACCTCTCTATCAGAGAATAAATAAAATACATTGTGACACCTAGTATTTCATTAAAACAATACTTAGACATTTTAACGAAATGCATTCTTTACTTCCACAATTATAATGTGGTCTATTTTCTTGACAAGTCTTTTGGTCAGTTTCTAAAAGACTGACCCCTTTCAAAGTGTTCTATCACATAATTATGAACCTTTGTAGCATCACAGTATGTTTTTTTCAGAGTACAAGCTTTTCAAAGGTACAATAGATCTGCAGGTTAAAGACGCTATACTTTTATTCTGATTTTTATTCTTTTATAGACTATTCCCTCTATGCCTTAAAAGCAGAATTCATTGCCTTTTTATCTACACAGTCACTACCAGTTTTGTTCTCTAGGTCTTGTTCCCTGCTAGGAGGATCAGAGTGACTGGTGAACAAAGCAAACAGTAACAGAATTAGGCTGAAAACTTTAAACCTCTTTTTTTGTTAAGTGAAAGATCATGTATTTCACCAGTTAAATCACACAAATCATTCCATTGTAATACTGTGAATTCATAACAATTAGAAATTGATACAACTAATCAGAGTGTACACGACTCTAAGCATCACTCTCAGAGACAGCTAAGCACTTTAGGTACTAAAAATCCCACAAAAAAAGACAAATTAAAAATTGAATCTATTCATAAAGAAGAATGTTAAGAAAAAGTTTAGAAGTACTAATACGTATGGTAAATCAGAAGTAAAATACATTCTTTTTAGATTTGAACCAAGAGCTTAGCATTCACAAATCGCCCACTGCCTACAGAAATAAGCAATTACACACCTCAGAAGGACTTTTTCTTAGAATATAAAATATTACCTTAAAGAACAAAAAATCCTAACACTGTAAAAACACCACAATATTCACATTTCTTTTCTTGCCCTTCTTCCCCCCAAATTAACTTAAAACATGAATCTTAAGGGATAAACATCTGTGCTACATGGTGGAGGTCTGCTTTAGAAGTATCAATTCAAACTACAAGCAGACACTGCAGGTCACTTAAAAACTTTTGATTTATAAACAAAGCAGTGTAGAAGAAAACAGTGTTACTCTCTGTAGATTCACAATCCTCTTGATATAAACAGTGACTAACAAGTTTGTTAGAGTGAATTAGACCTTTCTTTTGTCTTTGGAACATGTCATGGCCAATTAATACTTCTGTATTCATGAAATAAATGGAACACTATTCTAAAGATAATAAAAGCTGAAAAAGGTAAAACTATGCATCTGGGGAATATGTACCTTTACCTTGATATTAATATGTTAGTTCCCATGTTATTTCAGACTACAGTCCCCTAGCACAGTGGTACTGCATACATTTACAACATTCTGTAAGTAACACACAAAGATAATATGAACATGCTTTTCATCTTTTTCTAAATATTCACTCATTTGAATGTCTGCTGTAGCTTTTATATCAGCATTTACTTTACTCCACTGAAAAGAAAAATTATTTCCCATAGTCAAAGAAACTGATCAAAGCACACAAGGTGTTAGGTTTATTACGTGGATGTATTAAAATACAATTTAAAACTCTATCTATAAATAAACATATTATATGCAGAGACTAAAGAATACTACTGCAAAATAGACAGAAAAGACTATACCTGTTCAAGTATAACCACAGAAGTCACAAGCAACATAAACTGAAGAAAAGCCAAAGGTCACTGATGCATAACCCTTCCTATTGAGGAGAAAATAAATGGCCTATTGAGCTCCCTTCTCCTCTCCTCCCTTATAATTGTTATGTAATTGTTCACAGGAGTTGGTTAGCGAGGCAATGAAACAGCATTGCCTGTAATTGTCTATCTGTCTATGATAGCAGAAAGATTCATCATACGAGTCTACTCAGCAAGACATGCGCTCTACCCATCACACTCCTACGTAAAAAAGTACTGAATTCTTGCTCAAGGAACAGACCCACAGGTCATAAACTCCACTGTCTTCAGTCGTCAAGTTACTATGGTCTTAACAGAAGCATGCTTAGGTCTCACTGAGGAAACAGTTAACTGCCAGCTTTAGAACGTGAAACCTAATTCCTGATTAATAGTCACCAAATCTGATGATGAATTAGTTGAACACCACTGCCAAAACGGTTCTTGAGCTATGATACGATAGCTCACTATCAGAATTTGAAGAAAGCCTCCCACAGAGAAAAAAAAACTATCAGTTTCAAAAAGAAACAGAGCTGTGTATTAGTTACTCATAGAGTACCTACAAGAACCATCAAAACAATAAGATTTTAGCCTCTGGCATGCACCAGGTGAACGATTCCCCTGACAGACAGGAGGTGCCATGGTGAAGAAAGCCACCGTGTTACTGACTCCGGTGGTAGCCACCCATGCTCCTAACAACGTGTTAAGTCTGAAACAGCTAGTGGGAAAAACCACTGTGAAGACCAGAAGAAGGGAATGCTATTCTCATACGAGCTGGGTACACAGTAGAATCAGAAGAAGTCTCATAATGAAAGAAGCCTTCAAACTGCCTCCTTGAAGAAGCAGAGGGCCAACAGTTTACCTTCTTACAATAAGGCACTTGTTATTTTCCTAAATAGGATTAGATGGACCCATTGTCCCGCTTTTGGAGAAAATGGCACGAGTACCTGCCAACACAGTCTTTGCATTTATACACAAATAATGACATGAATAGCATGACTAGTGAATGTGGATTTGGTAACTACTGGAAAATCATTGGCAATGACGAAAGACACACCTTGGACAACTGAATCAGGAAGGAAAGAAATTGGGAATGGCAAAAGCAGAGTTTCTTTTTCCCCTGACCGCCTCCATCTTTCACCAGCAGGGTTTGAAAAATTATATGGAAGAGCAACAAAGCTATCCAGTACTCCCTTCTAAAAAACACAACTGGTATCTAATCAAGCAAGAGCATAAAGCTTTTTTACCATACAGAAGCTCAGCCACTTTATCAGACTTTTATCCCTGATATTAGAATGCGTGATGGAAACAGGTACCTGCTAAGGTGAAACAGAATTCAGCATCACTGATGAGCTAAGTAAATTCATGTCAGGTTCCCTCTTAGAAAAGAAAACATACTAAGAGTGTGAACAAAGTGTATTTAAGCCATATCAAGTTTGGACTCGCAGCAAATTAACAGATAACAGATCTGAGGTCGCACATTTATTTGGGAAGAGGAAAGCATTTAATACCCATTTCAGGACAGACGGTGTACGCGCTTTCTCAGCACATAAGCAAGGATTGTTCACACACACTCATTTATGCTCAAAGATAGACATTCAGTTTCAGTTGTTATGGTGTTGTCTTGTAGAAAATGTTAATCAATTGACAAAAGTGTCCACCACACTGCAATACCCTAGGAATTGCAAGGGGAACAACAAGGAAATTACTTTTTACAGACTGGGCAAGCAACTATTTTTTTATACTTCAATAGGTGAAAGTTTGGAAATGGCTGGAATCAGCTCAGTCTTACATGTTCACAAGAAGTGTTGCTTAATACATATCTTTGGACTTGATTTTGTATCTTATGAAAAATTTCCTGTTCATCTAAATGATACGTATAACAACAAATGGTGGAAAAGGTAAATAAAATCTGCCTAACGCACTTCACTAGTAGTTTAACCCTTTTTCTCAGTCCTAGTATAACAATTAATCATACCAATAACCAAATTAGAAGTGTGTACACACCCACACACTTAAGAGGAGGATATGTTTTAATCTGAAAAGACAATGAAAAAAGAAAGAATAAAAGACTAATTGTTAAAGCACTAAACATGTCAAGAACTGGCAGCTTCAGGGATCTGACTGTTTTTTGGAAACGCATGGTTATTGCTCAGCAGGCCTTCAACTCCTTCTCACTGCTGGTTGCCTTTCCACTTCACTTTGAGCAAAGACTGATTAAATTGGCAAAAACAAAGAAATTATTTTTAAAGTCAGTATTTAAAACCTTCTCTAGTTCCCTTCAGCTCTATCTGGGGCTATGAAAGTAACACATAAGACGTAACATGAAAAAAACCCAGTAATTTTCAGTCTTCAGCAGCTGGATATTTCCACTTAGTTTTATAGATACTATAAAACAAATTTAAAATAAAGGGAAAAAAAAGTCCTTATTTTTTCATTCAAGTGGTCAGTGTTATCACAAAAAAAGAAAACAAGTAACAGCAGAAAACTGGGATAGAGAATGGTAAAGCTTTATTGCAGGCCAACTGCATCCTGGGATGTATCAAGAGAAGCGTGGTCAGCAGGTCAAGAGAGGTGATTCTCCCCCTTTACTCTGCTCTTGTGAGACCCCACCTTGAATACTGTGTCCAGTTCTGGTGTCCCCACCATAAGAGAGACATAGATCTGTTGGAGCGTGTTCAGAGGAGGGCCACAAAGATGATCCAGGGGCTGGAGCACCTCTGCTACGAGGACAGGTTGCGGGAGCTGGGATTGTTCAGCCTTGAAAAGAGAAGACTTCAGGAGACCTAATAGCTGCCTTCCAATACCTGAAGGGAACTTACAGGAAGGCTGGGGAGGGACTTTTTACAAGAGTGTCCACTGATAGGAAAAGGGAAAATGGGTTTAAGTTGAAGGAGAACAGATTTAGATTAGATCTTAGGAAGAAATTCTTCAGTAGGAGGGTGGTAAGACTTTGGAATAAATTG